GTTTTAGTTGAACGTTTTAAAGTATAGTTATCGTGTTACAATGGCTTGTTTTAGTTGAACGTTTTAAAGTATAGTTATCGTGTTACAATGTTTGTTTTAGTTGAACGTTTTAAAGTATAGTTATCGTGTTACAATGTTTGTTTTAGTTGAATGTTTTGAAGTATAGTTATCGTGTTACAATGTTTGTTTTAGTTGAACGTTTTGAAGTATAGTTATCGTGCTACAATGTTTGTTTTAGTTGAACGTTTTAAAGTATAGTTATCGTGTTACAATGCTTGTTTTAGTTGAACGTTTTAAAGTATAGTTATCGTGCAGAGTAACCCTTCTTCCTTCTAGAACTACGTCCTTACACCCTTCTGTCTTCCATAGTTCTTTAATCCGCTGAACTTATCGAATCGCTCGCGGCAGACTGAGATTAAAGAAGTTTTTAGAATGCTACAAACATACAGGCAACGCTGTTTACAACATTAAACACGGCAGAGATAAGAGTAAATATAAATAAAATCTTGATATCGCTGTTGATACCGTTTTAACCGAAAAAATACCTAGAGCTATGCTAACTTGATGAGCTGCTATAGATACCATGACGTCACTAAAAATTACTTCGTACTTTGCAGTTTCTACTTTTTCAAAATTTACCCTTGAAGAAGAAAGTCTGTATCTTTCGAACATCTTGGGTTTATCGGGTTAGTATTATATTTGTCGTTTACCCAGTTTTGAAACCTACGTGATTTCCGAGTATCATGAACATGTCATGAACGGGAGAATCATCGGTTTATAATGTTTTACACCTCACGTCTACCTCTTAACCTCAACTGTAGGATTCCATTAAATAAACATTGGAACTTGGAGCTCATACCAACCAGAGCATCATCCTGACAAGCGTGGAACCTTTAAAAGTCGAAAACACGAAACATTGGTTTATTCACTATTCAAACACATTAAATGACTGAGAAAAACATTAGAGAGGATTTTAAGATAACCATCGGGTTAAAAAAGGGCAAGTTAAAGAATAGCCCATAGGAAGCTTGAAGGAAAACATTTACTTACTATAAATCCAATCTTCTATGAGGATTTTTAGGTTGATACAACAGAGAAATCAGTGAAACAAAGATCGAGATAGTTTGTAGGCTAGTTTGTGTTAAAGGATTGAGGCAACAGAGAAATCAGTGAAACAAAGATCGAGATAGTTTGTAGGCTAGTTTGTGTTAAAGGATTGAGGCAACAGAGAAATCAGTGAAACAAAGATCGGGATAGTTTGTAGGCTAGTTAGTGCTGAAGGGTTGAAGTAACAGATAAATCAGTGAAACCTAAAGATCAGGAACTTTACATAGGATAATCAGTGTGAAACTAGCATATCTTCAAATATATAAATATCTATATATTTTGACAACATAAAGTAATAATTAGTCTTGCAACATAATAGTTTGTCGGATAAACCGGGAAATACACACGACTTCAACGTTTCGCTCCAAAGGGAGTGATTTTCTTACAAATAACTCCACATGACTTCAACGTTTCACTCCATGGGGAGTGTTTGTTTTGAATTTCGCGCAAAGCTACACTGGGGCTATCTGCGCTAGCCGTCCCTAATTTAGTAGTGTAAGACTAGAGGGAAGGCAGCTAGTCATCACCACCCACCGCCAACTCTTGGGCTACTCTTTACCAAGGAATTGTAGGATTGACCGTCACATTATAACGCCCCCAAGGCTGAAAGGGCGAGCATGTTTGGTGGGACGGGGATTCAAACCCGCGACCCGCAGATTGCGAGTCGAGCTTCTTAACCATCTGGCCATGCCATGGGGAGTGATTCTCCGAAAAGCGCAAAAACTAAGCCATTCACTAGTCATTTGGACGTCTCCAATTTTTCGTTCCAAGGGTACTATTTCTCTTACAAGTTCTCTGATAAGCGCAAAGAGCTAAACCATACACTAATCATTTTGAAACGTTGGACGTCGTTTGATCAATTCAAATTCTCGGGAATTCATAATTTTGGCAACAATATTCCTAACTGATTTTATCACACCAAATATGTAGCATGTAAAACATGTGTTACAGTGCAAAACTTACAGGATTAGATGGGTTTGGCAACAACATTTTATCAGACCAATGCACATCATGTGAAACACCTGTTACGGTGCACCAGATAATAAACTTGGTTTGAAATGGGTGTTCTATGGATGTTAGTGAAGTCATTCATTTCTTTCATAGTTTGCACATGCGCAACGCGATTCCATTGCATCCTCAAAACTTACCTTTATTGTTCTTCTGATTAAAAATATACAATAAAACTATCGTATGTTATTTTTTGAAAGGTAAATAAGAAATAGAATCGCGATTCAAGCTTTCATGAACTATATCGAAATGAAAGCACAGTGACACACTTTATTGCTTTCACATATTTTGAATTATATTCAAGATATTTGAATTTGTT